TATCCACTTTTTTCTCGAATTTCCGGGCTGTCTCGAAATCGAATTATGTACTTCATGGCAACACTCGTCCACAACGGGACACGCTACATCCTCTGTCAACACTGACCTTCTTTCTAAGCAATGTCCTCTCCTTCCTTGGTGTCTGGGCAGTCTCGCAAGTAACTGTAACTTTTACGAGGGGAACTCGGCCCAGCTCAAGGATCAACGCGCCCACCATTGCTGCACGACCTCCTCTCCTTCGCTCGAATCACTCTCTTTTTCATGGTCTCTGGTCCTTCTCAGAAGCAGATCATGAAGCTTTCGGACAACAGCGTTCACTTCTCGCTGCAAAACGTGGAGACCTGCCCATGGTAGACAACAGCGTTGAGTACTATGGGCAAGTCTTCACTTTTTACAAGCGTGCTTCATGCGTCACAGGTATATCTCAGCTATACTATTTTTTCCACATCATACCCGAGCAATATTTTTTCTGTAAGTACCGCCTATTTGGAGACCGCTACGACCTTCACCAGGTGGCTTTGCTGTACATGACCGCGCAGCTATCTCACCGAAAACGCAGCAATGTGAACTAATGTGTATTTCATACATCTTGGCCCCTTCATCGCCTGTTCCGGATTCGACCCGGTCTTTTTAGGTTGTTTTTTCAAGATAATACCGAGTTTAGTAACAACCAGAACAAGCAGACAGACAGACCTACAGAGAAATAGACAAACAGGTGGACATACGAACGCTTTATATCAATTGGAATAAAGCAGCAATAGCCGTTTTCTCCATTCCCATAGTTTCCTCTCCTTAGGTGCGTTCAAAGCTATAGTTTTCAGCAAAGAGTATCGCAAAGAATTCGACAAGTATCTTGGAATTGCTACCTTGAAGAGAGCTATCTGCTGCAGTGATCCTGGTGGTCAGCTTGTTACTGCAGCTCGACCTGTTGTCATTTCTTCGATCAGCTCTTCAAAAGTAAACCCAATATTCACTACAAACTCGTAGGAACATTTGAGTATCTTATCAGCATGAGAATGACAATACAAGACTGAGTTGCTCTCCATGTGGTATTATTCTATTTCTGTGTAAGGTCATTTCACATGTTCAAAGATGCGTAAAACTGTTTTTACACAAATGCACAGTTATTTCGTAAGCTTAACTACTCGTCCGATTTACAGGATAATTTTGCTATGAAAACTTTCGTTAAGGAAAATGCTGAAAAATTTCCAACCTCAAATTAACCTGGCAGACTTATAGTGGTGCTGACGAAGTTGATGGAGCGCCACAAAAACCTGAGATATAAATCGCCCCAATAATTGATCACATAATGTGAAAAGTGTGGAAAGTATTGTAATTGTAATTGTTTATTTCACAGACACAAGCCTATGCGGTGTAGTTAAAATAAAGTGACCAACATTAACAACATCAAAAAGAAAAACAACGGAAAAGCCGACCAAGCAATCAAATCAGAAATGCAGCAATTACGAGAAATAATCCTCTACGACGCAAAATATCGATACAGGGCAATTTTATATGAGCTTAGCTTGCCCTCCTTAATGTAATCATTCTGATAAACTCAGTGCAAGTCCTGTTCACAAAAAAAGTGATGCCTGATGTTATGTTTCAGCTCGGCGAACGGATGTTCTCATGGAGTTACCCCTTGTTCTTGACTCTCTAACTGAAATCTTAGAGCAGCCGTGAAAAATATTAAACACGTTATCAAATTAAATTTTTTTTCGTCTAAGAGCTAGGGTCTGAAGATTGAGGTTAGCATTGCGCACCCTACTACTGAGTATTTGATTTGATCATAATGGAACCCAATTGCTCTGACAAATCTCTTCGCCTGTCAAACTAAACTTCGTATCTTGTATAACTTTGCTTTATGAGGCTGATTCCGATTCAGCAATGTGTATTCAACATGATTTTGTTGTCGGTCCATTTGTCACCTTTGCGCAAGAAAATTCCGGGTGGCATCCTGTATTCTATCGAATTCTGGGAAACATTTGAAGGCAGCGATTACCATACTTCCAAGAGGGGTTCACAGGGGAAGTTAGGGTGTGGTACGCCAATTGTGAAAACAGCGAAGAGGGCCGTCAGTAGAACGCGAAAAAGGAACCACCTTGTTTGGCCGTCGATCTTCTCTCAAGGACGGGCACGGCTAACAAGGAGTGATCATTTGGTCGGTCCGGCCATTTCAGAATGAGGTGTAGTCCGATGCACGCGTCTTGCGACGCTGAGCTCAAATCCGTTTTCGGTTTTTGCCGAACGATTCTGTTACGAGGGAATTCTTCTCACTGTGGCTATCTCACTGTGGCGCCCTCTACGTCCCCCTATCCCACTTGGCTCGCGTAAAAACAGAACGAACGAACAGAACGCATAACAGAATAACCAATTATAAACGCTTTCTGGGCTCGTATGAGCAGCCTTGAAAAATGCAAAAGTTTGCTACCGACAAGGATTCGAACATATGACCTCACCCCTATGAAGCAAGAGCGCTATCCACTAGACCACCATGCTCACTGCAATGCTCTGCGGCTCTTCTTATGCGAGCCGAGTGGGACAGGGAATGTAGAGGGCGCCACAGTGAGATAGCCACAGTGAGAAGAATCCCTCGTAACTTCGTTCAGAGAATCGTTCGGCAAAAACCGAAACGGATTTGAGCTCAGCGTCGCAAGACGCGTGCATCGGACTACACCTCATTACAAATTGGCCGGACTGACCAATTGACCATTCCTCATAAGACGGCGGGCGTATGGGAGAATCTACCGCAATGCTTTCAGTGGAACCATGGTAAACCATGCTCCAAGTGAGTTGCTGCAGTTGTGCCGCTCGGCAACACAGCTCGTCCAAATCACCAACTAAACCAGTGGGCGGATCACTTTTTGGGCGGAATGCTTTCCGAAGTCCTGCTCAGCAACCAGCGCTCTTCTCGTCGCGAAAGCGCTACACCTCGCTTCCTAGGCTGCCAATTAAATGTTTGTGCTGCACATATAATACTTTCCTGATGCGCTCCTTGATATCGTAATCGCATCCTCCAAATGTACAATGAGTTGCGGTCAATCGACTATACTATATACTCCATTCCTCTCACTATCCGAGACGAGGCTGGCATCGATTCGATGTGGAAGGCCAGGTTGGATTGGAGGAGATTGGGTCCGGGATTTGAGCTCGTGATCATGCGCATGGTAAGCAGCGGAATATGTAACACACATACTCTGATTCCGTGAACCAAACGTCGAGTGCAGACCACACACCACAAGTGACGACGGCCTCCACAAAATGTAAATGTTTTCTGCCAATGAAATGATTAGCCTGTTGCAGTTGTATTCTATCAGTTGTCACTAATTACAACTATCATTTACCAAAATCAGCTATCACTATGAACCACTACTAACCAGATTTACTTGGAGGCCGTCGTCACTTGTGGTGTGTGTCTGCAGTCGACGCGCTTCTGGCTCTCGGAAGTGGGTACATCCTACACCAATACGAATGAAAGATTTATCGATTAGTAGCGTTCAACAAATAACACATAATATGTACAAACAGACGCATTAACAGCGGTTTGGTGATCGAATGTAACATAAAAGCAGACCACTGGCACGAATCTTGAAAACCAGTAAAGTTGACTATCGTTTATACACAAATTCGGGATCATGTTGATGTGGAAGATGAGTCTCTTAAAGGAGACACTGGAAGAAAAGCGATTGCAGTGTGGAGATCATCATCCTTTCCGGTTCATATAACCCCAGCACGAATAGGCTCGATTTACTCGTTTCAGATCAGACTCTGAGAAGTCGGTGCTTTTGCCCATCAGATTCATGTATCGAGCATCCTTAAAAGAATCTTTTTATTACTCATTCAGAAAAAATATCAAAAGAGTAAATGACACGACGAAAATTCCAGGCCACAGGAAATAAGAATGGATGGGTCTGAAAATTTGTCATCAGGGCAATGACGTCCCCCTGGGATGGAGAACTGGTCCATTCTCTCACAGCGATTGCGCTGGCACAGGCGATGGTAATGTCCATCTACAGATGAATTATGGTGATAACTGGTGCACTTTAGCCTCCATAAATGAGGGCCTTTACTCGAAAGCAGACGCGCTCCTGAAGAATTCTCTGCGAGAAAAAAGTCACCCCAGTCCTACCGGAGATTTCTGGGTGTACGGTAACGCGTGTCGTGCACCCAGAAGTCTCCAAATCTGGAGATGGGTTGGTAAGCGAACAATTTCACTGCTTCGTTTTTAGATCAGATGCGACAAGTCGACACCTAGCCTTCTACTTCTCCTCCTTTCCATCGTGGAGATCTCTGTCCAATGTATTCTTTCCTCCAGATTTAAAAACGCTCCCAAGACCACATTGAGCCATGGGTTCTGCAAATACCGTCAGTTCACTTTGTGAAGATGTTGTCTCAGCAGCAATAGCATCAAAGGAGGATTCCAGGATAAGTCGTTGGGTGAAAGGAAAATATAGCTAGTCCAAGAGCAGGCGGACCCACTTAGAGGCGAGATGATGCGTTTGTAGCAGCTAAGAGTATGCCTCTAGCGGCCTAGTAGAGCCATACCCCTGCGCTGTTGCCTGCCCATCCCTCGCCGTCTAGCTTGAACGGTTGAGGAAAGAGAATGTTAGGTCTGACGAAAGCAACATCGATGAGATTCCCATCGATTCGGAATTGGGCAAAAAGGGGTCTCATTTTTCGGACTCTTAGCCGTTTTCCTTGGTTTTTCCTTCATTCCTACATCACTGACCATACCTATACTGATTTCTAAAGGGATGGCTTTCCATGGTAAATCCCGCCTCAGAGGCTTGGTACCATCTCATTTTTTTACCGGACGCTCTTTCAAATTTTATCGGTATGAAGTCGCAGCTGCTGCTTTCAAAAATGGTTGGAAGCAGGGTCAACCGTCCGTTCGAACTGTTCGAACGGGGGGGGGGGTCGCATTTGTGTTCTGGGAGGGGAGAGGGGTCGCATTGCGCAGTTCTGCTGGTTACGTTTGGTCATCAGGGGCGCAGGGCATAGGTGCGTGCGAAAAAAGTTGCCGTTTCACTGGTTGTATATACCCCCCCCCCCTCCCCGCTCGACGGCTATTTTTGGGGAAAAGTGGGTGGAGTTTTAGGTAGGTTTTGGGCTGTGTCAACTGGTCTCAGAATCAAATACTATAGAAGAGGGAGAGGTCGCGGTGGAGGAAGGCTGGTTGTATTGGGGGGTCGCAACTGTGTGTTGGGGGGGTCGCAACTGGACCCTCTCGAGAGGGGGGGGTCGCAAAAATCCCGAAAATGTTCGAACGTGACGGTTGACCCTGTTGAAGTTGGGACGTGTAGTAAAGTGTCCTAAATGGCCAGTCTATAGTTGGCCAATAGGTCACGCAGTGCTCGCCTTCGTCCCCACCCGCAAAGCATGGGGAAAGGCGCGAAACTCGCGCTGACGTGCCGCAGTGGGCGAGGTCTGGGCCGCATCCCAAGTGGCCAATGTCCTAGGTGGCACCTAAGGCTAGTCGGCGAAACCTGGGCGAGGAGAAAAGGTAAGGAAGCGTGGAAGAGAGCAGAGGATCGCCGGGAGGGTCCGTCAGTCACTCGCTGAGAGGGCGACCAATATGTACCCCTGAGTACATTTAGTGAGTCTCTGCAATCCCCATGCACTTTCCCCTTTCTCTGCACGTCATGTAGAGCGTGTTTGCATCCCTGCCATGTCGCAGAGCGAAGAGAAGAAGGGTGATTGGTGATAGGTGTTGAGGAAGCCACCGGAGCTATCGATAATATTGATAACTTTCTGCCAATAAGGTGTCCCCAGCTGTCCCCATTATTGTTCCACTTATTGATTGTGTTACAGCCCCTTCTTTGGTCATGGGAGAATTTCACCTCTAAACAATTAAATGGGAATGGTCTCCACCCTAACACGTCGATTGGCGCAGCGGGTTCGTTCCTTGTGGACATAGGATCGGTCGCGGGATCAGTTCCATTCGAAACCCAAGGTTTTGCAACCCTCTCAGGTTACTACCTTGCATTCTACAATTCTTTCAAAGTGAACCAGCAGTGCTTTGTGGTGCAGTGTCAAGCGTCGCGCTCATGGACGCTGCGTTACACGGTTCAAGTCCATGGGCGATGTGAGTTTTGCTAGCAACATACTGAAGTTCGCCGTTCACACCAGGGTCATCTCACTATCTTGCCTTTCATTATTCGCCGTTAAAGGCCGTAGTTCACCACCCTTGACTCCCAGTCTATGGCACTTTACTACCGTCCCTGGTTACAGCCAATCGTTAAGGAGGCAGTGCATTAGAATTTGCTAGTTTGCGAGCAGCAGAGCTTAGTTATTTGAATGAACTTTACGTTCAGTGTTTGGTCAGCAGACTGAAGTGAGTCACGGTAAGGTTTCGGGATTGCAAAAGCCAAGAAGTACACGTGTTTGTTTGGGTCACAGCTTGAGTAATGCTTAGTTGAGTCTCCGATAGTTACTTTCCTTATTTCTCCTGTTCTTTTTTCCTTTCATAGTCCTTTTGTAAGTCCTTCATCCACATCAGATCAAACGGATGTTGCGGTAATGGTTAAGGGAAACGCTTCTAGATGTTCGAAAACATGAATTTCATCATTTTCCCGCTGAACTCTTACGGTTGAGGCGTGCAGTTCGGATTGTAGCAGATAGCTGAATTTTTGAAAGGTCGACAGTTGAACTTGAAGACGATCATTTAGATGTTCCACAGCTTCTTATTCCTCGCCAATCCCTCTCCACTCTTTTCCCTGCTCAGAAAGGTCTCTGAGCCGATCTGTATGCTTGGCGGCGACCCCCCCCCTCAACAGTGGTGCATGTTCCTACCACCAACAAAAACCGGATTTCCTTTCGCCGACCTCCATCCACTGTTTTCTCGGTCCCGATGACGCCTTGCAAGCGAGCAATGGACTTTTGTGGATAACTCCACCCCCTTTAGTGACTGCTTCTACCACCAATGGTGCGCATCCTTATTTCCTTCGAAATCCTACACTTTTCCCGATCTCCAGGACTTCTTAGAACGAGTTATCGGTTTGATACACTCCGCCCACTTTGGTGCATGCTCCTCCACCAATAACATGTGATTTTTTTTCCTTTCATGACCTCTATCCTTTTCTCCAGTCTCTGGGACTCCATGGATCCGGAGTACGAAATTTTGGGGCAAATCTCGCCCACCCTGGCGCATGCCCCGCCTACCAATAGCAATTGACCTCCTTTCCCTCGCCGACCTCTACTCCCTTTTTCCCGTTTCCAGGACTTCTTGGAGCCGAGTTATAATGTTTCGTGGCTAACTCCGCTCACACAGGTGCACGCTCTACTCACCTATAGATGTTGACCTTCCATCCGTAATAGAACTCAGTAGCCTCTTCTGGTCTCGACCTCTTGGAACTGACTTCTAAGTTTAGTAGCGGCATTCGCCCTACTTTTGTGCGCGCCCGCCCACCATTGACATTCCCTCCTCCTCTGACCTCTATCCACCTTTTTCCGGCTCTCTAAGACTTCTCGGACCCGAATTATGAGGACTTGTAGAAAACGCTGTACACTTCAGAGCGCGCTCCGCCCATTGTGGGCGGGCCTCCCGCCACGTCATGTATGCTGGGAACACCTTAGACATTGCTCCCCTACACCAATTGTTTTCTGCTCTGTAGGCTTTCTCCCAACCGAGTTATGAAATTTTTCATAAAGCACTGCTTTTTTAGAGAACGCCCCGCCCACCGGGGGTGGGTCTCCCTAATTCGATGTTGACTTACCAATGCACACCTTAGCCCACTTTTTGGCCCAGTTTCGAGGTCTGTTTCCCTGAACCGTATTGTGGAAATTTTGGACCGCCAATACTTGGTATTTCGATCACGCCCATGCCCACCTGCGGCGCTTTTTAGCTGATGAACTGTTTTGCTACTCTGTTCAAGACATTCGCCTCTACACGCTACCCATACTTGACTACTTGCTCTCCACAAGGCTTTTCTCCAGGCTAGGATTCATGACAGACGTACACAATGCGTCAGATCACTTCCGGACAATCTCAGGGTGAGTCAGACGGCGTAGAGGCAGTAGACACGACGGCTAGCATCCGAGTGTTTTATAGTAAGTAGGCATGAAGGAACAAGCGGCAAGGTGGCATTCACCATTTCATACCATTGTCGCACGCGGCGGAAACTCGATCGTCCACCGGATGGTGTCACTCAGTTACGTCCGCCAGCAACATAAAATTCAGAATTTCACGTGGTGCCCCCCGCAGCAGAAAAGGTTACTTGGTTTCGATTTAAGTTGAAGCAGAGGGTGGATCAAAAGAACATATTTGTGGGGGATCGCCAGAAAAGTTATTAACGACTGACCAATCTAAACTTGATAAAAGGCACTCAGAACGCAAATCTCACGACCGTTTTACTGGTGGGTTTACCCCGCAAGCAGAGTTGGCGTTGGTTTCGATTCAGGATCTGATGGTGAGAACCCTTATTATACCGTACAATGATAACAGCAGAAATTTTCCCGGGCGTCTCTTCATTTACATCGTATACTTACGTAAAATAAACAACTCCCGCCCCCCCCCTCTCCAACAAAAAAACTCCGCCCCATTACCCACAGAACCACATACCTCAGGCCCACTAGCCTGCAATGAGCATAGCAAAAAAGAACGGAACATAAGCGTTAGTTCTATAAATACTAATCCTACACACAGAGACAAAATGATCACTCTTTCCGTGGAAGATTCCTTTAAGGTATCGTTTTCTGTGGCTAATGAGGGCGGAGCTTTTTCCGTGGAAGATTCCTTTAAATCGAACGTAGTCGTAAAAAGAAAAATAATAGAGTAGCATATTTCGAATAATACCTTTCGCCTCAATCGTGTTTTCTCCATTCCGACTACCTTCGTTTTTCTCGTAGTGCATAATTGAGAGGTAGTCGTATGTCTCACCGTAATAGGTGAGATCCAGCGTAGAAAGCTTGTCAAAAATCGAGTCGCTGCTCTGAAACCACAGCAATACAAACGCTTGCAAATAAGTAATCCTCACGCTATAAGCCGTGTCTGGTAAATATTAACCGAGATTAACTTGAGCGTTTCCCCACGTTTTCTCGAAGCACGCACGACCGAAGTATATAGGATTAAGGAAAGTGCCTGGCTCAGTTTTTCTCAACTGTCGCGTTCACAACTTCCCGAAAATTTTGCGAGCCCCTTCGAAGAGGTATCGAACGATACCATCACCACCATCAGCCTTGAAAGGATTCTTCAATCACGACCGCGTAGCCCCTACCCGAACACCACCCTGGCTATCATGGCTATTTCTATAGCATCCGATTCTGAGACCAGTCGTTACAGCATAACCCAACCCATCTGTTCCAAATGGCCGTTGAGTAGGGCAAGAATTGGGGTGGGGAGGGTAAATATCTTTTATGAACCCTTTGCTCATCTCGAAACAACGAAACTTTCTTCCCAGAATCACAAAATGCGCAACGCTCCTTGTTCGAATAGTATGAACGAGTGGTTGACCCTGCACGACTTAGCTTCAAATCTTGGATTGGAAGCGTGGTACCTTACTACTGAAAGCCTAAAGAGGGAGGGACTAGTTGGGTGTGCCAAATAAAGTAGGCAAAAATGTGAGTCACCTATGGACCACTTGTTAGTGATTGGCCATTCACTATTTGTTGCGGTTTTCAAACTGTCGACCCGTTCGAGAACCTGTGAGAGCATTACCCCTAATTTCCATTTGTGTAAGGCCCGCGCCAAATATTCACGTGCAGTGTGATTTTGTACACCTCAGAAACTACCGTGAGACTGCCTATAGTAATTCAATGCCCCTGATTACAAAAAAAGACTTTCATTTTTGTGGCGCCATCTGGGGCCAGGTGGCGTCACCTTGTCACCACACCTGTCTTCACCAAGTTTTGTATCACTTCAGGTCGGGTATTTGGTGTACTGATTACATATATTACATTCATTCTCGGCGCTGGCGCGCTATTTGGCGCCTATTTTCTGCTCGTCTGTGCTCTCCAGCCGAGAGAAAATGCGTTCGACTAACGTTAATGCCAAAAACGAATGTCATATTCGTAATCAGGGTCCCAAATAACCCCTATACTGAAGTTTACACCGATTTTGGCGAAAACAAGGGTCGTGACAAGGTGGCGCCAACTGGCGCCAGATGCCGCCACCGCTAAAACGAATGTCGTTTTCGTGATCAGCATTATCTGAATTATCCCATATGGGACAGAGTTACCGGTTGTCCTCTACATAATGCACGCAAGCTGCAACCTGCACCAGTGTGAGTGTGTTTTTACGCGATATTAATCCGTCTTATCTACCGAAACTAAATAAATTAGATACGTGAATTGTAAAATGAAATGACGTTTCTCATTTTGGCCATTAATATTCCCTTCTTAGAGGGGGCAATTTGGACCCCGAGCAAGGCAACCGCCTGCTGATTTCAACCCGGTCCTCTAAGTATCACACGTTTAAGTACCTAAACTAGAAGGGGGCATTGTCCTCTATGTGCAAATGAAATCCAGTCTTGATGATATCAGAGTCTTTAGTTGGGAAACACATAAGAAGATAGAGGTCCTCGATTCTCTATCGAGTAGCTTGTAGGACTCGCCGTATAAGCCGTGACTGTATTCAAATGCCTTTGTGACCCAGGACGAAATTCGCCTGGCGCATGTCAAAAAGGAATCGACTAATCAATGGTATCTCATATTGTTTTACTTTTTATCGTGGTTCAATGCATACAACAATATAAAGGTGCAAGAGGTGTTGTCTGTGGGTGGGGAAATCATTTTCGTCCAGTTTTATGCATCTTTTTCTATTGCTTCGACCCTTGTGTGCCATGAGATTTGAATTGCGGCCTAGCGAAAGAGGCAGCGTTTGCAGTTTTGCAAAGAAAAATACCGTACTTATTCGAACTCGAAGCTGTTACCTCTTGTCAGCTTTTCTGTGCTGAATAGAAGCACGTTCGATAAGAGATTTTCAAATACTCTTTTCTTTTTCTTCCCTTTCCAGTTCCCAACGCAAATCATGTGGTGTCTGTTGAAGAAGGGTGAATTCAACTGCTTTAGCAGAGAAGGCATGGAATACAGTAAATACCCACTTGAGGAATTCGGTATTCAGGGTGCAGAGCCCGGTTTGGCTAGCGAAAATATTAGGTTAGTGATTGTGATTGATTGAGCGGCACGCCCATGAGCCAGCTGTCATACTTCGCGAATCCGTCGAGCCACGGTCGTGATTCATCATCAATCCAAGGATTCGCTAGCGACTGCGAGACTAATGACACTCCAGCGGTTTGAGCGATGCACCAGTAAATTAAGTCGCTGATTCGTTGACATATCGCTCACACCCCTCGTATTGATGGCGAGATCCCGAATTGCTAGCGAATTCACCGATTCGCCAAGTCTGACAACAGCCCAGCAGCCTTCAAACGAAAGAGAATATTGAGATCTTTCAAATTAGAGGTATAAAATAGGGTGAACGAAAGTAAACTAAAAGTGGCTATCTGATTGATTTTAAAACGCTGCACTAATTCGCTCAGACTATCTGAGAAAAGGAACTCGTGTAATCTGCTGCTCTGCCAGCTTACTGCTTGCCACTGTATTCCAGATTTTCCGATTCACCCACCACCAACTTTCTTTCATTAATGGTAAGAAAATATCCAAATTTTCATAATTACTTACCAGGAAGGATATTCTGGTATAGAATGTTGACGTAACCATCGCGATCTTCTCGTTGATGCTCGTGAATGAAACCTGAATGTCCTCTTTTCACGACAGTAGCCTATTATGGAGTCACAATTCGAAACAAAGTTGGTCCCTTCAGATGCACGCGCAAGAAGACAGGAGGGCAGATTGTACGCAAAATTGGCCGCCATCAGGGAATACATTGAGGTAGGCCGATGGGTAGGGAGAGCGTGGACCGCCAACCTGCAGGCACAGAGAGCCGCGGCAGTGAGTAAGGACGGTCCCCGGCTATGCGGATTCAGCAAGTCGCGGGGTACGAGCGATGCACCGGCGGTTTTTAGAGGGTGGGGACATGGCGGAGACCCCTTTCACTCACACGTTTACTCGTTTCGGGTTCGCAAGGGGGATGAAGGTCTGGGAGAGTTCCGAGAAGGCAGTGTGCAAATGAGAAAGTCTCTTGCCACTCAAACCTCTCAGATCGCTGTCGCAGAGGCCGGCGATTCGCTGGATTCGCAAATCCTGACACTGGCCCTAAGGCGTTACGAGGTACCCTTCACAGCAAAGCGCTCCTGCTTCCGCTACCTTTCTTTACTTCCCGTTCTTCGATCTTCAGTTTTTCGTACCATCTGCCTTCAGTGGACGAAATCGAAACCATTGTGTTCTACCTACTTTAAACTTCCTAAGGACCTCCCCCCATCACTCATCTTCCACCACTGGTTGATATTCCTGTAGATTGTTGAACCGACCCTGGTTGGCATGCTCATTCCTGTAGTGTGGCAAGTAGAAGAAGGGCATAACTGCCGAAACAGTATGAAATGGTGAAGTTTCCCAAATTTTCCTTAATTTAGCTAAATTCTTCCCACTACCTAAATTACTTTGCCATATCTTGCACATATGAATGACCCCCAACCGCTCGAGCTACAGACCACGACTCCTAAGGACATGTAACATATTATGAATATGACTCCCTTCTTGAGCTCGATTCGACCAAGCGGGCAGTTGCTACAGGTGCGTAGTGGCATACTCTGCATTTCGTAGCACTGCCGTCTGCTTCACCCCCTCAATCCAGGTATCGCAAAGGCCAATCATGTTCTTGAAGATTTTTTCTAAATGAAATGGGAAATAGTAAAAAATAAATCGAGAAACGAGGCAAGTAAGTGGCACACCACTGGGAAACCTGTCACTTGCATGGTTCGTGAACACTCGTAGCATAGTCAATAAATTGTCTGCCAGGTGACACTTGCTGTGCCCACGCCACACGAGTCAACATCGGCCTAGCATCTTGACAAAACATGGTTTTGTATCGATCATGTTCTCTAGACATCAAAGCCTTCGTTGCTAATAGTTTGTGGTCATATATGTTTTACAGTGTTCGATAAAAAATTATGTTCAGCTCTGGTTTGAGAGACTGATAGAAGGAGCTGGAAACCACACCTGAGCCTGAAAAGTATTCATTCCGCTGCTCCGAAGGGTGAAGCATTTCCGGCAGAATAAACTGAGGGGATTATAGGGGAGCAAGTAATATATCAGTTAGTTTTATGAATCATTATAAATTATGTGAAGGCCACAGGATCGCGCTCAAGTCCGAATGGAAATGGGGGGAGGGGTGGCTAGACGTGAAGTTGCACCAGGCTTTTCTTGTACGACTCTGCAGGGAGACAATTTGGAGCTTTCATGCACGAACTTCTAATGGGTTTTCGCTGCATTCTGAGGGGTCGACCTTGGGGCGATGCGCGAATAAAATGAAGACATGAACAGAGAATGTATGCTATACGAAGTTATTACGTATTCGAACCTTCCTCAAAACCTCACCCATCTAGCTTTGAGATGACTATAAAATCTCGATCTTGAGCAGTCTTGGGAACGAATCTAATGCACGTCTTCGCTTGATAGCCGGCGATCGCTCGTGCTATGACTGCTCGCTGTTTTTCTGCTGAACAACGAGCACAATCATACTCAAATGAAAAGATCAAGAAGTAAACATGACTATGAGAAAACTGAACAGACATGGTGCAGTGGAACGTGACGCCGATTACAAAGCCTTTCTTCCCTTCAGGTTGCTCAGTGGTATCAGAATTATTCACAAAGATGCACACTTGTATTCAATTCGGCTTGCCCCGGCAACCTACCCTGTAGGCCAAATAACTTCAGCATACCATTACGATTTTTGACAACATGAGGAATGCGTGGCGCAATCCCGAACAAGTTGATACGGATTTCGAATCAGTCGAATGTTTTGCTTCTTTCTTTGGAAATAGGATAAACACCCGCTGTTGATTAGTACTATTTCGGGAAGCGCCATGCATTTTGCTTCCGTTCAGAGTTGTAGTGAGTGAATTGCTATATGGCCTGAACAATGACTCTTGGTCGCCACCCGATAAACATTCAGTGTTCATTCACCTCAATAGGTTTGGTGCCACTTCCCGACCCCGGAGACAGAACTCTCATTTGGCCCGGGCGACGTACGATCCACCATTTCATCCCTATACGGCGCGCCACTTGCCACAATGCCGCCTCCACTCTTTCTTTTCCAGGGGGATGTACCGAACTGGAAACGCTTACTGTATGCAGCAGATAGCACATAAGGAACTCGTCCTCCAGGCCACTTGTCGTCCGCTGACGCTACTCGACTCCGCTCACGTTCGCTCTGTGAAATTAGTTTGTCGTCGTGACATGAAAATGATAAATTTTGAGCAAAAATATAGCCGGCATCAGGCTTTGGAAATGAGGGCGGCGAGTTCCTGGGATAATTGAAAAATTGCAGTTTCTGAGATATGAAAAGTCTAGTCGCAAACCTTCGTAAGAAACCGCTGATCGTTGTAGAGAGGTCTCATCCGTTGGCTGATTGGTGGGAGCAGAGCGGCATTGCGGAAGTCTTGAGCAGTAAGGTACGTTAATTGACCCGATGTTCTCGAGACGACGACGATGGCCAGGGGCAAAATCGCTGACCATAACGCCGTCGTCATACGGCCGCTGCAATTTATGGTAGTGAATTATTTTTACGACGTTGTTTTTCCTTGGAATTATATCAGTCCGATATTGTGCGTAATGAATAATGGCTGCGACGCTTGAATTCGTCCGGTCTTCTCAACAGAAAAAAGAAAAATAATGAAATTTTAGCTTTGCGGATGTGACAAATATACTCGAGATCCGTAAGTTGGGGTAGGCGTGTCACCGGAAGTGACGTGTACTTGATAGAATCTATGTGGATAAGGTGCTTCCAATATAGGGGGGCAATAAAAAAAGACATTTTGTCTCCACTTTCAGATGGATTTAAGCACACTTTGCTCAATTGAGACCGAGTGTTCCCAACTTAATATTGAAGAGCACATTTCATTCTATAAGAAAATCTTCATGTTGGCCACCCACGTGGACGGCAACAGAAGAATTTGCCCTGGAAACATGGTGCACTGGTCGAGCTCAATGGGGTCTTCGAAGGATTCTGTACCATAACGACCTTTACTGGAAAGCTAGTTTCGAGGGGATTTGCATAGTGGTAGCTAATGCCTCTAGAAAAGTATCCAACATTAAATCGATTCACGAAATTGCGTAAGAGCTTCAGGCTGAAGCTCTTACGGTAGACCTCCTTGAGCCTGACGACGGTGACAGATGACGTCATATTCTGAAGACGGTGAGGGCAGTGAAGGAGGGCCTGCGTTCACTTATAGAGGGACACTTAGGGAATACTCTGCTGAGGAACTCCCGTCAACGCCGGCAATCTCTGCGAAGAAAAAAGGGCCGAAGTCCGACATAGGCAAAATGTCTTTTTTTGGCCCCGCTGTATATCAGCAAAGCATGCTGGCAACAGCTTATCTACGCAACTTCTATCAAGTCCACGTCACTTCCGGTGACACGCCTACCCCAACTTACGGATCTCGACTGTAAATAGGCTGATTATCAGCAGAGAAGACGTCCAATTACATTATCATAAGTAATTTTTTAAGGGGATTGATCCCATTTCCGGTAATCAAGCTTCCCATCCCGTGGAGCCGAATCCATTGACATTAGGTCCACCACGGTGATTAAGTGGTTATTCGAAATTGGTTACCTCAAAGAAATAAGTGTCGAGGACACATAACACTAACAACACTTAACACTTAAGAGACGACAAGGTTTTTCCCAAGTGAGCCAGTATGTGACACACGCTGCCACACAGGGTAGGAATTATGTAGGCATATGCGAACAGCGGGGCTAAAACGGGGATAAAGCATGCTTCCGAGCAGGGTCAACCCTATGTTGCTACAAGTAGCAACGGGGGGGGTCGTATTTTGATGAGTTTGTAGAGGGGGGGGTCGTACTTGCTTCGGTTGTAAGAAGTTGCATGTGATGAGTGGGGAGCGGCGCGGGAGAAAATTTGCCGTTTCAGCGCGCGTATATACCCCTAGAAAATGGAGCAGTTGAAATATGGGTAAAATACATGGAAATTGTAGGGAAATGTAGGGAATTTTTGCGGTTTTATGGTAAGTATATACCCCCCCCCCCCCCGCTCGACGGTAATTTTTTGGGGTAAAAATTGTTTTGAAAGAGGGGGTCGTATGAAACATTTCATGAGGGAGGGGGGTCGTAAAAACTTTTTGAAAAGTAGCAACGATAGGACCGACCCTGCTTCCGAGTCTGATCTTTGAAAAAAAGAGCTTTCCGCCGCCAGCAACTTCATAAGTCGCGTTTTCGCCCTAAATCTAATGTTAAGGCAAGGAATGAATGGAAGCTGCAGACAACCTCTTCGAACTGTGAGAGATAACAACGCTAAGCTAGGGAAGGGGCTATTTTCAGGAGGAGAGGCTTCGTGAAGTGTGAAGCATGAGTACGCCATTCATCCATTGGAAAAGTTCGAAAATGGGAACAGGGTGGATACGAAATTAACTGTGAGTTTTTTTTTTTGAAAATTTAGTCACGCAGGTCCTGGAAATATGCAGGGGTGGCCAAAAAAGAGAAGCTTCACTCCATATTTGAGACAGTATTTGCTACACATTGCTAAACTTGAACCGACTGCTCTCAATGTATTAAAGAGCACAGCCCAATCCACCAATATATGTAGTAGTATGTACTAGCTTATCGC